TTCCTATGCCCCATCTGATGCTCTTCCCAGCCTCCCGTCCATGCTGTTCTTACTCCTGGGCCAAAGATGTTTCTAAAGGAACATGGAAATGATGCTCCGTGAGCAAGGTGGATAATGGTTTTTTGATTCAAAGAAGTTTCTGATGGTGTGAGAGACGGCAGGGAAGGGTTAAAGTGCTGTTGGAAATTATAGACAGATACCCATGGGGCGGACCTGTAATTACTGGGGCACCTCACCCCTCCTCAGGCCTCCATTTCCTCATATCTGATATTGAGAAGGATACACACTCATGCCTGACTCTAATAGCATGTGTTCCAGGCCAGGAAAATACAGTGGTGATGTGGCTGAAAAACTGTTTATGAAAAATTTGGTTAGCAAACATAAGCATTCACACAATTTTGCTTAAGTTTGTGAATCCCACATTGGGTGATGAGCACAACTAAGACCATCTTCCCTGCAAGAACATAAATGCAGCCATCTTCTCCAGAAACGTGGACCAAATGAAGTCTGTGAACTGATGTGCCACTGTACAGTATAAGAAAAAATCCAGTGTGAAAAATGGTATATATGCGCAGTTATTTTGAAACAGCAAATAACATGTGTGAAGTTTATATCACTGACAAAATACCTGAGAAAATCAAATTAAAAAGGGGTTTATCAGCTCGCAGTTTGAGGGTTCAGATTGTTTTTACTTGACTTCACTATCTTGAGGCCTGTGTAAGGCAGAACATCATATTAGGCAGCACATGGTGGAGCAAATCTACTCACCTCATGACAGCTGAAAGGGAGGGGAGAGAGAAAGAGAGAGAGAGAGAGAGAGAAAGAGAGAGAGAGAGAGAGAGAGAGAGAGAGAGAGAGAGAAAGAGACCCAGAGCTTCAATATTGCCTCTAAAAGCATACCTCCAAATGACATAACTTTACTCAACCAGGTCCACTTCCAAATAAGATCCCTTCCATCAGTATCACAATACCGTGACAGAGGTTTTAATATATGGTCTTCAATGAACATTTAAGATCCAAATAACAGCACAATGTGACACTGCATCCTACTTATCTCAGTGTCCATTTAAAGAGTAATAGGACAGTCCCATATAAACCACAATAACGTTTGCACACTTTAAAAAGGATAATTTCTAGTATCATCTAATATATAGTATTCAGCATTCACATTTCCCATCTTGTTCCAAGCATAGGCTCCATAGTTATTGTCGTTTCTGTTGTTGCTATTTCTCCTGGTCCATTTTAAAGCTAGAGCTACACATTAAACACATTAGCAAGCTGTCATAAGAACAAATAGTAAACATTCTTGAAAAGGTCTTTATTGGATTGCATGTTTGGATTTCAAAAGTTAAGTAGAGATAGTAATTTCCATGTTTGGCATTAATTGTTGCTCATTTTTTCAAGACTCATATGCTTATAATTATTTTAAAAGTAATGCACTGTCACTTAAAATCCTCCCCATAAAAGTGAGGAATCTCCCCTCCACTCCTGTGTTCACCCCAGAGAACAACCAAACAAACAAACAGCTGCGTGTGTGTGCAATTCAGAATGTGCATGGGGGTAATTTTTCTCTTCCCTGGATTTTGTATCACTTACAACTTCCTGCTGGAGAATGTTACAGTGTAGATTTAAAGGGCCTCCCAAAATTTCATGTTTCTAAAAGTGGGGATGTTGAGAGGTGCTTTGACGATGGTGGCACTACACTCAGTAGTGGATCGATTCACAGCTGAATGTACTTTAGGAGCTGGTCAGGGATGGTGGGTCAGGGACAAGTCACTGCGATCTTCACATAGAAGTGTGTATGGTGGTGCCCTGCTCCACTCACTCAGATTCCTGGCTGCAAAGAGGTGAGCAATATTCCTCTGCCATGTCTTTCTGCCAGGCCCTTCCTGTCTTGGCTCCGACCCAATAGGAAGTGAATCTTCTGAAATGTGAGCTAAAATAAACCTGTCTTTCAGGTGTGGATCTCAGGCATTTTGTCTTAGTGACAGGAAAGTTGACTAATGCATAAAATTCTTAACTGAATCAGGACCATTGTTGAGACTGTACCTGACCAGGTGACTCAAAAACCTTTGGAACTGGCCTGTGGGACAAGTTTGAAAAGGTGAGGACATGCCAGCAGGAGAGGCCCAAGAATGTTGTAAGCACAACTCAATGGCTAATTCTCGTCAGACCTCCGAAAACCAGAATGTCAATAAGATTGCTATTATGAAAGGCGGGGCTCAGGAGGTTCCACATGAGAATAAGGACTTTGCTGGAAACTCAACTAAATTCCATACGTGATACAATCTAGAAAAGAAGTGTCTACAAATTTGAGGTGAAGGAGAACATGATTGCTGAAAATTAATGCTAAAACGAAAAAAAATACTTTGTATCAGCACAATAGAAAGGATAGGTGGACAGTCTCTTAAGAAGTGGCCAGACCATCCCGTATAGGCTCAAAGGTGTAATAAGGTAAAGAACTTTGAATTTGTTTTGAGAAGAAAACTCCAGGGTGCTCTCTTCCTTCAGAGTTGCCCAACCATATTTATTCTTGAGTTCAGCTATCCAACTCTCAGCGGCACCTGCAACCATGGATGGACTAAGGGCCAAGGCTATTGCCTACATTGGCAGCAACCTTTGGGCCATCCACATGAGTTTTTAGGCATACAGAATGAAACAGTTTCCAGGTCCTGGTGGCTTCCACCCAGACTTCAAAGGAAGGTCTCCAAAACTAGCCAACCTTCCCCTGACAGACAATGAATACAATGAGAGTGGAGACAAAGGTGTCCTGAATACTTCAGGTATGTAGACATGTAGACATGCCAGAAACATGAAATTGAGACAGAGGAAACCTGCAGGCAGTAAATGGAGTCAGCCCCAGAGAGAGGCCACAAGGGCTGCAACCTGCAACGCCATACGTGGATGGCCACCCAAGCCCTTCAGAACTCAAATGTTGCCAAAATGTGCCCCAGGAACTGAACAAAGAGCTTCAGGCTTTTATGTTTGCTCAGCTGCATTTCAGGCTTGCTTTAGCTCCACTCGTTGCTGTTGCACTCTCCCTTCTTTTGGGAAAGGGAGTGTTCATCTTGTGCTGTTGTATGTTGGAATCCACTTTCATTTTTTATTTTTATAGGAGCTCATAGCTAAGTTTGCCTTTAGTCTCAAGGAAGACATTGTTCTTGGACTTCTCAACCACACTAGAACTGTTAAGATTGTGTGACACTTTGAACTGAACTAAACAGATTTTGGATAATGGCATGGACATGACACATTCGGGTGCTAGGTTGGAAAGCTATGATTTGGGTATGAAGTGTTTCCAAAAGTCTCTTGTGTTTGGAATGGATGGGATCACATGGGTGTTTAACTCATGAGAGGATTGTTCCAATGCTGAGTGCAGTGAGTGGTTACACAGTCAGGGAGTGGAAGCTGCTTGGAGTTTAGCCAAGGGGGATTGGACTGGAAGGGCATAGTCTTGTCCCAGACTCCACCTTTCATGTTGTGCCTCCAGGATGCCACGAGGTAAGCAGCTTTCCTCTGCCACGTTCTTCTTTCATGTCTTTACTAACTCCAATACACCAAACCAAGGGCTGAATTCTATGAAGCATGAGCCAAAATAAACTCCTCCTTCTTTAAGTTGCAAGTGTTGGTTATTTTATCCCAGTCGTTGGAAAGCTGGCCACTGCCAAAGTATTTCCCCAAGTAAAGAGCAGTTTCTCCTTTAGAGTTTACTATCTACCTGGAGAGCAAGCATGGATGAGATAGTCACAGTGACTGTTTTTTTCTGTACTAAACTTCATCTCTACTCTACAATCAAAGAGAGTTACTTCCAGGCCCCAGAAAACAAACCATCTATTTTGAATAAAAAATACTTCAGTTACCAAAAGTTCATGAATACAGACAGAATCTGACTGTCTGGGTTTGAAGTGGGTTTGAGCAGTACAGTATCAGGTTTAGATCTGGTTTGTAGTTGAAATTTCAATATATAATTGATCATGAGTTTTTGGTACATCATATTAAAATTACTACTATTATATTAGTATCCATCCTTTGGTAACTTAATTTGACCTTGTGACCAGGTCCCTTGAGAGATGTATTTATCTAGATTAAATCATTTTTACTCTTAAAAGGTTTCATTTCTTTTTCTTCTTGGGATTTTAAGAAATCCATGACATTATTTGGGAACAAAGTTCCTTTTACCCAGAAGCAGGTTGTATGCCCATTAAATGAAGAGTTAATATAAAGAAACAAAGAGCTGTACATAAGTGAGACAGATCATGAGTTAGCTAAGAATGGCCTTGGAAGGAAGGTCAGGGCTTTTCAAAAACTATCTTCCTTCTTTTTACTGCCAGTGGCCTTTAAATTTTTGCCTGTGTTCCCATATCCCTGGATTCTGTGCTTTATTTTTGTCAATAGAATCTTCCTTAAAGGAATATTTTCCCACTTCATTAGTTTGTATCTTACTATTTCTAGTAAGATACCACTTAGCTTTGGCATTCCATTTGTAATCATTTGTGAATTAAAGTCTCCTTCCAATGGCAAGTGGATAAATGAATAAGCAAACTCCACACCATAGAGATCTTCCATCCAAGGAGAGAACTATAACTCTACCTCCATGTGAACAAGGTGTCTGTCAGTAGGATCAGTGACCAGAGAGAAAGGAGCAGTTGAAACATGAGGGATCCGTGTCTGCCTCTTTTGGCTCTGTGAAGTAGTGGTCTTGGGGCTGGGGCTGGGGCTGGGGCTGGAGGGAGGAGGCTGGAGGGAGTGTTCAGGGTGGGTAAGGGCACCAAGGGAGGCAGTGGAGATAGGAGAATCCACGAAACAGGAAAGCACCAATTCTATCAGGCAAAGTTAGAAGGACCAGAGGGGACACAGGCTCATAAAGCTGGAAAGCACACAAGACCTAACAGTGGTGTCCCTGGTCATCTCATGCAGAGCTTAGAAATGGTTAAGATTTCAGATACGGATTTGTGTGAATTAAACTTCAAGAGCATGACAAACATAAAAGGCACAATTCCTTCATTTGAGCAGCGTTTTAATTAGATAGATCCTTTTTCTATGACAAATTTATGGCTCCACGTATGTCACAGTAGTCTCTTGGCTTCTTTGCTATCATCTACAGCATTTGGAGAAAGGGAAGCCACAGGTGCCGATGTATTTCTGATGGGTTCCACATTTGAATGTGCATGAGCCTCCATTTTTGTAGCAACTGACAGGATTGTTCACAGCTTTAGAAAAATCTAAATAAATAAATAGATAAATAAATAAATAAATAAATAAATATTATACATAAACACAACATCAGAACAGGAAAAATCCATGTGCTTTGACCTAGTGGGTTTCACTGTTAGGGCTGTGTTATTCCACCAGGATAACACAACATGACCCAAGGATGGTTTGGATCCAATTCTCAACAAAGCCTGCACTGCTGCCTATGCAGAGGATGTGCATTTTCCTAGAACCAGAATGACAAAGGCCTTGGTCTGTGGCTCTCTATGCATTGGGCAGGAGCTCTACAAAGCAGCCTGAACTGGAGAAGGTCACTTTGTAGGAACCCTGCTCTGTCTGTGCACACAAGCCAACAGTCTCAGCATTTGAACAGGCTTAAGTGACCTGTGCTAAAGGTCTGCTTTGCAACATGTAGTTCACTATTTGCATTGAGATCAGAGAAAATCATACTGCAAGCATTGGAATTATTTAATAGCTCTTGATGCCTAAAGAACATAGAGTTGAAAACAAAAATGAACAATTAGCCTAAACTTCTGTAATATTGTTTCTAGTATCTACTTTCTGGTCAAAACCTCATCTTTCCTTGCTCTATTCTTTCTCTTTTCTCTATTCTTGCTCTTTTCTCTTTCTCTCCTTCTCTGCCTTCTTGTGTTCTAAACATTGGCATATACCAAGGTCCATAGTATTTCTGAAAATCCGTTTGTTTTCTATTTATATTATAGGTTTCTTGTATAAGAGAAACCATGAAATACTTAAGCGTGTGTTTCTGATTTATTTCACTTAACAGTATAGTCTCAAGGTGCATCCATTTATCTTCAAATGATTCAAGTTTATCTTTCTTTATGGCAGATAGCATTCCATGGCATGTAAATCCCACAGTTTTTTTTATCCATTCATCTGCTGATGGGCATACACTCCACGTCCAAGATTTAGCTATTAGAATTTTGCTGCTATTAATATCAGTATACATATATCACTACAATGAAATGTCTGTAGTGGCTTTGGAAAGATACCTAGGAGGGGAACAGCAGAGTGAAACTGAATTTCTAGTTGAAGTTTTTGAGGAATCTTCACATTGCTTTCTATATTAATACTGCTTGTACTACTTCACTTCCTACCAATAATGTCGAAGGGTTCCTTTCTCCCAGTAGCCTTTCCAGCACACGTTATTGTTTGATTTCTCAGTGTAGAACATAGGTGGTAAGAAGTAGCGTGATGCATATTTCTCAGAGTGGGAGGGGATCAACAGGTGGAGGTAGGAGCAATAGAGGATGAAAAACTAGATCTAGATCTGTTCTCTGTGTGCACCAATCCCACACAGGGAATGTAAACATTTTATCCTGCATACATTTATCCAAAAAAGAGAAGAAAAAGGAAAGGGCATGAGGAGATGGGTGCGTGAGGAAATGAGGGACGGGAAGGAGACGAAGACGGGAATGAAGATGTCTTATGCGCATGTGCCAACTTCCCGCAAGCAGTGTAAGCACCATGCACTAGTAACATGCACTAATAAAGTTTTTAAAAGCCTCCTTGCTCTTATGAACAAAATTGACAAAACCAAGTTTTTCTGAATTATGCTCTCAGGTCTAGCCTCACACCTTCCCTCCTCTCCACTCTATGCCTCCCTCAGAACCACGCTGCTCTTTCCTTTTGCTCATTCCTTGTATGCGGTTGTCATCGCAAGAAGGATGAAGTGAAGTGGGCACGTGCAGTGTGGAGAGCCGCTCCTGTGCAGGGACGGCATCCTCAGGGACTGTCCTCAGCAAACACCGAGGAAGAGGGAGCTCCCCAGTGCAGGCTGAGCCAGGTCACTACATGGGGATCTCTCAGCTGCGAGAAGACTCCAGCCTTTAGGTGTCTACAAGATAATTCTCTGCAATTCTTTACGTAAAAGTAAACCTTTCATGAGAAAAAAACTGAAAAGGAAGAAAATAAGTCACCCCAGATTTCACCCCAATGAGCAGTTTTCAGAGGTGGAGCAGTGAGGACACAGAACTAAAAGTTGCAGATCAGCTCAGAAGGACCTGAGAAACCACACTGAGACTTTTTTTAATGGAAAAAAAAAACCCAAAATTTTATAGCAAAATACTAAGAGAATAACAATAGCTCATACACTGTGTATCATTATCTTCAAAGTAGCTACTCAGAGTACAATACACAGACAAGAAGATCCTCTCTTATAAAGAAGAAACAGATAATAGCACAAAATTTTCTTTTCAGTGAACTAAGAGAAGCTAGTTGTATAAATGAAACAAATTAGCATAAATATTAAAATATCCTCTTTCTAAGTACCTTCCTCAAAGGGTTAAAATCATCATATTACAGGATATATGCATACTCATGTTTACAGCAGCACAATTTATACTGACTAGATCATAGAAACAGCCTGTATGTCCGTCAGCAAAGGATGGATGAGGAAAATGTGGTGTTTACACACAATGGTCTATACTCTGCCATAAGAAACACACGGAGATTCTTAAACAACTTTCAAGTTGTTGGAAGTGGTGATCACTTCTATCATGTAATCCATACAACCACACTGGTCTAAAATGGGTTGAGAGAATGTAGAGAAAGGAATGGAGAGGGAGTAAAGAGAAGAACAGAGAGAAAGGAGAGAGAGAACGAAAGATGCCAAGGTGAGCACATTCCACAAAACGAGAAACAGAAGAAGCAGGTAAAGACAAAGAGAAAGAAAGGGATACAGAGAATGCAAAAGGAATGACACTGAGACAAGGGATGGGGGAATAGAAGAGATAGGGGAGGGAGAGAGAGAGAGAGAGAGAGAGAGAGAGAGAGAGAGAGAGAGAGAGAGGAAGAGGGAGGGAGACCTGACTTGGCTCCATCTCTAACTTGAACTGTTTATCCCCCTGCCTTCTTACCTGGCAGGGTCAGTAAGAATACGAGGAGGATGGAGAAGAGGAAGTGAAGGATCCTCATGGCTGACGGCTGCTGGACTTCTGGAGCAGAGACTGGAGAGGCACTGAAGTGCACTGCCTTAAAAAGGTCCAGGAGGCTGGGGTAGATTTCTGTACCAGAGGCTATCCTTACTGGGCAGGTCTGGGAAAATCCCCTAGAGAACAAAGAACATCCAGTCACCAGTATGCAAATTCTCCCCAGCCTGGAACGAGGTGTTGCTTCCTTCCTGGTACTTCAGGATCTGGAGAGGATGAAGTGAGGGAAGAGCTTGCTCATGGGGGTCCAGACTTAGGCTGGGACACCCTGAGTTCACTTGTCCCCCGAGGAGCTCCAGTCCTGCCAGTTTGGGGACAGTTTCAAACTCATCCTTCCATCTGTGTGTAATTAATGTCTGGGATTAAACTGGGCAGGCTGATGTTCTGAGTTCCAAAGTGTGCTTGGTCTTGGCTGTGGGGACCACACAAAGAGGGCTATCTCCTCAATTTATCACAAGTTGGTGGAATTCATACAACTGGTTCTAAAAATTCACCATCTGCCCAATGAGATAGGCATGGAGTCAGGTGGGTGTGCTATTTCCTTCCTCAGAGAAACATACTGGAAAAATGCTGTGGAGAATGGCAGGTCTCCTTGGGTTCACAGAGGGCAATGTCAGTGGTTCATCCTGGACGTCTCGCCATGATGAACTCCAGGAATCTTTCAAAATTCCTAGTCCAAGTTTTGGACGTTTCTATTGATGAGAATCCTGGTTGTCCTTTGGATGCTGTTGCCCAACCCTAAGTGGGGTTCCCGGCCTTTATACACAAAACAAATGCTTTTGGTGGTACCATTTCTGGAGGTATCCTGTAGCTTAGGCTGTGCAAGTGCTCCGGGGCCCCTCAGAATGCTCCTATTCCTTTATGAGGTGGGAAAGCCATTGCTGGGATGACAATGGACAGAGCTGGTGCAGGAGCTCAGAGGTGAAGCTTTCCTGAGAGGAGCTAAGAGACTTGATACTCTTTCTCATGAGTGAAGTTTAGCGAGAGAAGCCCCTAGGCAGAAATCTACAATAGAACACCATTTTTCATTAGGACCTTAGGGGAGGTTCATTCAAGTTCCTGGAAGCACAGACAAAGGGGAGGTCCTCTTTATTTACACTGCCATTCATTTGAGGCTCAGTTTTCTGCTAGTCAGGGACATTTTTTTTTTAAAAAAAATTGAAGCATAGCCATTGTATATCCTTATGTAATGTAGTGTGATATTTCAATGCACATATACATTATGCAATGATCAAATCAGTTTCATCATGTGTTCATTTGGAGGTATCCCAAATCCCGCTTCTCAGCTATTTTGAAATACACAATGAATTACTGTTAACTGTAGTACAATGAGTGACTGTTAATTACTGCAGTGACCCTGGTGTGCAGTAGAATGCTAGGACTTAATCCTGTGTCCATTTCCTACCTGCTTGGCAACATCTCCTGTCCCCTTTGGATGCCCTCCCTGTCTATGGGACCTACCTCTCTACTCTCCAGTCACAGGAATTTCCTGGGTAGGCTGGTGATCATGCTGTGTCATTAGGACTGGAAATAACATTGTGACTCAAAGAGGAAGTTCCTGGTGGAGTGAAAAACAGCAGGAAACAGTTAGGATGCTCTCGGAAGTGATGGAGCAAATCCCATGACTTCAGAGCTGTAGTCAGCAGGGTACTCGCCCTCCTCAGGACTTGATTTCCCAGTTCCTGAGGAGGCCTGAATTGACAAAGCTACACACTCATTCTTGACTCCAATAGCATTCACTCCAGGCCAAGGAAATATAAAGAAAAACAGAATGTGACAAAACCCCTCTCTATGCTATGTTATTTTGAAGTTAGTAAACATCATGTGCTTCTAAGCTTTCTATCACTGTGACAAAATACCAGAGAGAATCAGCTTACAGGGTGGAAAGGTTTACTCGCTCACAGTTTCAGAGTTTTCGACTATTTTTCATTGACTTCGCTGCTTTGAAGCCTGATGGGAGGCATAGCATCGGGTTGGGGAGCATATGGTAGACCAGAGCTGCTCACCTCGTGACAGCTGCAGGAAAAGACAGAGAAAGGAAACAGGTGAGTGTCAAATGCCCCCCTCAATGGCTTGCACCCCATGATAGGCCTTCCCCCAACTAGGCCCCACCTCTAGGCAATTACACGGGGCTCAATAGCATCCTCAGATAAAGGAACAATCAACCTTTAACATATGGCTGCCAGGGACTTTAGGATTCCAGCCACAGTACATCATGACCTTTCACTCTAATTATCCAGGTGAACATTTCTTAACAATATGAGAAAATTGCTATAAAATTCAGGGTAAAATTCATAAAGGTGAAAAGAATGATTGATGGCATAATTTAGTGTAATCTCAATATTAACGTTTCCCGTTTGTCCAAGTAGAGACTTCGTAATTGTTGTCCCCATGCCCACACGTCCATTTTAAATCTAAAGTTCCACATTGAGACAGATGGATCTGTCTCTGTTTATTACAGCAAGCCATATTAACAAGCAATCTTGGGGCCCTGCTTGCGCAGGGGCTTTACTGGATTTCAAATGTTGAATTACGTTAGTAGTTCTTACCTTTCTCATCTTTGCACTAACATTTACTCATCCTTTGTAATGACTCATATGCTTACAATTAGTATAAAAATAATATGCTGTGATTTAAAAATCCTCACACACAGAAGCAAGTTCTTTTCCTCCATTCCTGTAGTGACCCTAGAGAACCTCCAGCAGCACTTTGGCTTGTGCGATTTTAGTCCCACCTCCTTCTCAGGGCATTTGCAATGTTTGTGTTAGACAAAAGTATGGTTTAGATCTAAATGTCCCACAGAAGTTTCACACCTTCAGAAGTTACAGAAGGTGATAGGATGAGGGTGAGGAAGTTATCATCAGTGGATTTATCCAGTGTAGGAGGTGAGGCCTCTCTGGAGGTGTTAGATCACTTGTTTCTTTTTTTTTGTTTTTGTTTTGTTTTTCTCTGGTACCGGGAATCGAACTCACAACCTTGTGCTTGCCAGGCAGGCGCTGTGCCGCTGAGCTAAATCCCCAGCTCCTAGAGCACTTGTTTCTTGACATAAAAGGGTGAATATTCACTATTGTCCGCCACTGTTCTCTCACCCCTCTTGCTATCCACAGTGAGGTGAGCAACATTTGTCTACTATATGTTTCCATCCATCCATTCTTCTCTGGGAGCCAACCTATCATGGGATGAATTTTCTGACACATGAGCCAAAATAAGCCTTTCTTCCTTTAAGTTTCAGGTGTCAGGTATCTTCATTACAGTGATAAGAAAATTGACTAATGCTGAAAATCTGCACCCAGGAGTGGGTCATTGGTATGACTGACCATACAAGACCACAGGGTCAGGGATAAGTGTGAATATGTTCTGTGGGTCAAGATTGAATAAGTTTGGAGATGCTCCCTGGAGAAGTCTCAGGTGCTGTATGCAGAGCTTGATGGGCACTTTTGGTCAGAGTTCAGAGGAGCAGAATTTCAGGAAGAATTCCGTACTCATAAGGTTTCAGATAGGAATGATGACTTTCTTGGATACTGGAATATATCCTGTATATTTTTCTTTCTGGGAAAGAATCTGTCTATATTTTGTCCATTGGTTAAGTCTTTGTGTGAGGTTGAGTTTAAAGGTAGCAGAAAAACATCTGGCAGAGGAAATTTCCAGGCATCGCAAGCTATGACTTGGGCACTGCTGGCTATTTTCATTCAGATTTATGGTCAGAATCAGGAGGGAAAAACTGAAGTGAAATGATTTGAAAAGCCTGCAGCTGCATAAGAAAGAAAGCACCCGGAGGTGGGGGCAAAGGAGAGTCTGGTTGCTGAAAAGATTAACATGTAAACAGAAGCCAAAGTATTCGTATTGGACCATGGAAATCATTGCTTCAAGTCATCTCAGGGATAGAGCAGATGCCACCATTCACAGTATGAAAAGGCTAAGAAACCTTGAAAGATTGTTTTGAGAAGACACTTCCAGGGTGCCTTGCTCTTTCAGGTTTTTCTACCTAAGAAAGAATATCTCTGAGGTCAACCATCCAGCTCTCAGCAGCACCTGCAAACGTGTCTCAAGGGGGAGCAGTAGAACATGCACCGTTCACTCGAATTTTCTGGCATGTGGAATGAACAAGTTATGGAGCCCTGATCAAAATCTCAGAGGAAGTCCTCGGAAACCAGGCAAGCTCGCCCTGGGAAGGAAATGCATGAAGCCAGGAAAGTAAGGACTAAGGTGCCCTGAAGACCTCAGGAAGTTAGAGATGCCAGGAATGTGAAACCTTTGCAGAGGAAACCTGCAGGCAGTACGCAAAGTCAACCTAGGAGAGAGACCATAAATCCTGCAGCCAGGCCATATGCCATAAGGGAAGGGCCACCCAAGCCCTGTAGAGCTCAAATATTGCCATACTCGGCCCTGCGTGCTCCACAGGGAGCCGCATGAGTTAACGTTTGGCCTGTTGTGGTTCAGTCTTACTTAGTCCCATTCCTTTTGAGTCCAGTATTCCTCCACTTTGGAATGGGAACATTTGCCTGTGTCACTGAATGTTGGAAGTATTTAACTTTCTTTTTTCATTTTCACAGGGGCTCACAGCTCAGTTTGCCTCCTGGGGACTCAGAAGAACTCAGATTTGATTTTTTCAATAATGTTGTTGCCGATAAGATTGTACAACTCTTTTTTGCTTTATTAAAATACAGAGTTTATTTAACGTGCATAGTTTTGTCTCCTCACTGTCTCCATGTCTGACCATGTTATGGTTGAAACATTGCGTCAACTTGGGGAGTCTAGAGGTTTGGCTAAGTGACTCAGCAGGAAGCCAGGATACTTACTTTGTATACATCCTGAGCCTGTGGAAGAGGAGAGCATGGAGATTGTGTGAGAGCTACACGCCCCTTAGGTGGGGGTAGCCTGTTTACGATGTAAGGCAAGAAAGAAGCTGCTTGCCGCAATTCCGCCCGTTTTGCTCTGGCTGCTTTGCTGTTTGGCTGCCGTTTCCCCCTTTGCTCTTGTTGGTTTGCTACCTTCTGCCTCGGAGCCAGCCAAGTATGGACTGAAACCTCCACAAAC